AGGAGGCGTGGTCGTGCCTATGACTGTGGGCGGGAGGAGGCGTGGTCGTTGTGGGTGGGCCGTGTGTAGGATCGTGTGTGGCGGGTGGGTTGCTGGGGGGCAGGGACTGTCTCCGGACTGGCTGTGATCCTGCATGTATCTGCTTGGGCAGGGGCGGGGTGGGTGCCATGTGCCCAGGTGCACTTGCAGGGGAGGGTGACCCCCATGGCCCTCGCCCCCCGCCCCCGCAGTGTACAAGACCAGGCTCCTCAGGAAGGAGCCCTCGGATGACTTCGACGACTACATCATGGTCATCGAGCAGATCATCAAATCAGGTCAGCCCTGCACTCTGTCTTCCGCCTTTCTGCTCCCCTTCTTTCGGGTTCCCTCCCGGTTCCCTCCTGCCGCCTTCCGGCTCAGCTCCCCTTGGCCTCCCCTCCAGGCTCGGATGAGGTGCGGGTTGCCCAGGAGCGCAGGTTCATCAGCCACATCAAGTGCAGAGAAGCCTTAAAGCTGCAGGAGGGGAAATACTACCTAATGTGGGGCGTCTCCTCCGACCTGTGGGGAGAGAAACCCAAGTAAGTGCCAGCCCGGTGCCTGCCCAGGGTCACCCCTGCCTGCCCTTCCCCGGCCTTGCCCCTGACTTTCCTGCCTCTCCCCGTCCCCCCCCCCTCCAGCATCAGCTACATCATCGGGAAGGACACATGGGTGGAGCTGTGGCCTCAGGCCGAAGAATGCCAGGATGAGGAGAATGAGAAACAGTGCCGAGACTTGGCCAGCTTCGCTGAGGACATGATCGTCTTTGGCTGTCCCAACTGACCCCTCCCCACAGTCCCCACAATAAAGCCGCAGTTATATGTCATGTGTCTCCCCATGTGCGAAGGTCTTTGAGAGGGAAAGAGGCAGCTGGGATACCACCCCCCGCCCCCCTGCCTCACCAGCAACTCGGCTCCATCCTGAAGCCACACCTGGTTTCCGCTTGCTTCCCTCCTGCAGTCCACCTGCAGGGTGTCCTTCCTCGCCCAGGGAGCATGCGCCTGCCTCACCTGCACCTGCATCTCCCCTGCTCCTCAGCCTCAACCTTCTGTGGATTCTCACCAGCAACTCACTACCCTTTCACCCCTTGCTTACCTGCCCTCTGACCGCATCCTCACCTGCGTTCTTACCAATACTGTCACCTAAATCTTTACCTGCTGTCCCACCTACGCCCTGGATTGTATCCACCTGGATTTTTGGCATTCTCACCTGGCCCACGCCTACATCTCCAACTGCAGGCTTGCCTGTATCTTTACCAACTCTCTTACCCATATGCTCCCCTTTCTTTCCACCTGCCTCCCCAGCTGCATCCTCACCTGTTCTCACCTTCATCCCTTTTTGCCCCTCACCTGCGGCTCACGCGCAACTCCGTTTGCTACCTCGCCTGCATCCCGCTTGCGGTGGCAGTTCCCAGGAGGGGGCGGTAGGGGGCAGGCCCGGCGCCGTTTCCGCTGGAGCTCCGGGTGAGTGAGCAAGCGAACGAGCGAAAGGGAAGGTCTGAGTCAGTGGTCAAGGGGGGGAAGTGCGGGGGCATCGTGGTCACAGCATCCCCAGAGCTACGTGGAGGGCAGTAGCCACAGGCAAATGGGTTCACTGGCCGCCGAGGGGAACTGGGGTCCTCGATGCCTCTTCTGATTAATTGCGCCGCTAGGACTCTTAGGGTGTGATCCATTCCCGGCTCTTGATGTGGTGATCACCGGAAAAGCCCTGAGCTTCGCAGTCGCCCCTTCTCAGCACCTTTCCCCTAAGACCCCCAGGTCCTGTAAACCCCACCTCCTGATTCCAGGAATACAGGGGAAATAGACTCACAGCCAGCAAACCACCCCCCCCCAAACACACACACCCAGCCCCTGATTGGCAGGGACCTCTGTCTAGGGGAGACTCAAAAAATCCTCATCACTCACTAGGTGTCCCAGCCGACCTGCCCACCCACCTTGATGTCTTTCTTCTCATTTCTTTTCTTGCTGATTTCCCCTTTCTTGTGCCCTGGGATTCCTTTTCTTCCTTTCTTTTTAGCACATGGGGTGTTGTTTTGATGGAGCTGTGGTTCCCAGAGATGAGCAGAACCTACAGGGTCTTTGAAACTGACATTCTAAGGACAGCATGGAGTTGATTTCAGACAGTGAGGATGTCCAAAGAGGAAAGGAGAACAGGGCAATGTGAGAAACCTTGCCTACCGTGGGGCCACCAGTGTAGTCATTTAGATCCAATAATAGCCATTTTCTGGGTCAACCTAGCTAGGGCATGGTTTAGTCAAACACCAGCGTAAATGTTGCCAGGTAGGTATTTTTAAGATGTGATTCACACCTACAGTCAATTGACTTTCAGGCTACGCTTGATAATGTGGGTGGGCCTCATCCAATCAGTTGAAGGGCGGCAGAGAGAAAATGAGGTTTCCTGAGGATGAAGGAATTCAAGATAGCGGCATAGAAAATCTCCCTGAGTTTCTAGCCTTTAGACTCAAGACTGTGGTATCAACTCTTAACTGAATCTTCAGCCTGCTGGCTTGTTCTGTGGATTTTAGACTTGCTAAACCCCACAGTCACAACCCCACAGGAATGAGTCAATTCCTAGCATGCCTGGCTGGCTTAGTCAGTAGAGCATGCAACTGTTGATCTCAGGGTCATGAGTTCAAGCCCCACGTTGGGTGTGGAGCCTAGTTAAAAATAAAACAAAACAAAAAACGAGCCAATTCCTTAAAATAAATTGTATGTGTGTAGACACAGAGATGATAATGATAGATAGATGATAGATAAATGATAGATAGATGATAGATGATAGAGATAGATAGATAGATAGATAGATAGATGATAGGTGATAGATAGAAAAAAGAATAGATAGATAGGGGTGCCTGGGTGGCTCAGTCAGTTAAGCATCCAACTCTTGATTTCGGCTCAGGTCATGATGTCAGGGTCATGAGACCAAGCCCCACATCGGACTCCGCGCTCAGCACAGAGTCTGCTTGGGATTCTCTCCTTGACAGCAGGGCCATGGAAGGTGGTGAGGTGTTGGCTGTCGGTCAGGGAGGTGGACACTGGGAGCAGAGTGGGGATCAGGCAGAGGAGGACATCCCTGGTGGGCATCTGCAGCTCGCTAAAGGGCTTTCTCCAGAGAGTTGTTCCTGTGCAGACAGAGGGGATGGCTGGATTTGGCCCACAGGGCATAATTAGTTAACCCCCTGGACGCTCAGTGGGAAGCCATTGCAAGATTTTAAGCAGGGGAGAGATGAAGGTTGGCATATGTGTTTAAAAAGCCGATGACTGCAGTTCCAATCCTAGCTAGATACCCAAAGATTTGGAACTGGTACTCAGACAAATACGTGTGCACCCATGCTCATCACAGCACTTTGCATGGTAGCCAAAGGATGGAAACTGAAACATCCCTCCGTGCGTGAATGGACAATGTGATGCATCCATACACTGGAACATCCCTCAGCCCTAAAACAGAAGGGAGCACAGGTACACGTTGCGGCGTGGATGAAACTTGAAAGCATTACATCCAGTGAAAGAAACCAGACACAAAAGACCGCATATTGCATGTTTCCACTTTTATGAAATATCTGGAACGTCCCAAACAGGTGACTCCATGGAGCAGGAAAGCTGATGAGTGGTTGCCAGGGGATGGGAGGCCTGGGGGATGGGGAGTGGCTGCTTTATGGGAAGGGGCTTACCTTTCGAGGCACTGAAGACGTCTGGGAACTAGATAGATATTGTAAATATCCTAAATGCCCCTGAGTTGCTCACCTTAAAATGGTTAGTTTTATGTTACGTGAATTTCGCCTCCATAAAACAAAACAAAACAAGGGGCGCCTGAGTGGCTCAGTTGGTTGAGCGACTGCCTTCGGCTCAGGTCATGATCCTGAAGTCCCGGGATCGAGGCCCGCATCGGGCTCCCTGCTCAGCAGGGAGTCTGCTTCTCCCTCTGACCCTCTTCCCTCTCATGCTCTCTCTCATTCTCTCTCTCTCAAATAAA